TCCTGGTCTGACCTGTCATTATCAATGGTGTATCTCTTGTTGGTGTCGAGCGTTGTTTTGGTGGTCCTGTGGTAGAGGTCTGTCTGTGCGGTAATTTCGTCGACATTCTGGTCGGAAACGTCCGGTTCGTCGTAACCGTTGTCCGTCTGACTCTGTTTATCGGTTACGCGTTGTGTTGTGTCCACCGGTTTGTCCGTCTGATGTCTGGCCACTCGTGAGTGTTGCTGTCGTTGGTCTCCATCGCTGGTCGGGTCTAACTTTTCGGTAATTGTCTTATCTGTGATTGTTGTCAATTCTGTGACGATTGTATCGGTAGTCACTGTTGTGTCAATCGGTTTAATGGTGTTATTGTTTACTTCAATTGGGGAACAGTTATGAAGTGATAGTCCGAAAACAACAACAATAAACTTGATATAACTTTTCATGATTTTGTATTTCATTAGTGAATATCTCTTATTTTAATTCAAAACTTCTTTCCGATTTTGTTAATTGTTTATATATAAAAATGTGTTCATCAATAACTGTACTTTGCTTTCACTGGTGAATTGTGAATTTGATAAACAGATAAAAATTATCATCAAAGTAATTACACAATTAATTATATGTTTGTAATAAAAATAATACAATTGTTAAATCAATTTCTCAAAAATATTAATTATTTGGTTATTATTGTTATTTTGTTATTAAACTAAAATTTGGATAAAATCCAATTATAAATGATTTGATAGCAAATGACAACTTAATTAGAAAATAACAATATATTGTATTTTTTGTCAAACAGAATATAAGTCAAAATAAGCGTTTAAATAATTATTTTGATCGTGGTTTTCATAAATGGATTCAGTGTTTAATCTAAGAATTACTTAATTTCGCACAAAATATTTAAAATTGTTTTTATTTTTATTATTGAATTACAATATATTAAATAAATACAACTATAATCTCATTTATTATTAATTTTAAGCTTTATATCATTTAGTTTTAATTTATTAAACTATAATATACAGTATAAATAAACATATTATCAACAAATAAAGATATCCTAAGTTGTAATAAGGTTAAGGTTATAGTTATAGTAAGTTAAAATTATAATTTATAACTATTTTACACAAATATAACCTTTCATATAATTGTATGGACTCTTGTTTTGAGTGATTGAACTCATTATACAAACCATTCTCTTATAGAAGAGACACTTCTTATGGCATAAAAGTTATCATATATTCTGAAGACAGGAATTGAGTGAAAATGTATTTATTATTTTGAAATATTATTTAAACTTTAGTAATAATATAAAATACAAACTAAAAACATTGTAAACTCATATGAAAACATCACGAATTGTAATAATTTATATATAAAAATAGGATTTTAAATAAAATAAGATGTGATACAAAGTGTAAAATGAATAAAACAATAAAAAGATAAAATTCATTGAAACATAACAATTTTGTGAATTAAGTTAAGGAATATAAACACAAAAATAAAATACAAAAAATATCTAAATTTGAAATGCAATAACTCTTCTATTTGTTGCCTTTCAACGACTGAGTCTTAGGTAAAGTCCTATTCTTGGGGCGCCGGCGGCTGTAGCGGCGGTTCCGGCGGTGGGGGAGCATAAACTTCGTCGCCTTTACATATATTTTCACAAAACATTAATTGTTTGCCAAAATTGATGTCAAACACTAAACATACCGGTGGGTCGCGTCCACTGCCGCTCAGCGGGAGCATTGGGGCCATTGTGGGCACGAACCGGGCACGTCCACCGCACAGTCTCTTCCACTTTACATATAATAAACAAAACAATTAATTGTTTGTAAAATTCATATCAAACACTAAACACACAGTCGGCCGGTTGTCTGTCGTCGACAGCCTGTTGGGCAACCTCTGCATTTTTGTAACCATGGACTCTAGCGAGTCGGTTAAATTCATTATGCCAATGAAAATGCGCAGAATCGAGAAATTCTACCGATTCCCTCAACGCAGCTGTTAATCAAATGAATGTGGTATTAATTATGAGATATATTTGTCACCAAAACATTGAAATATTATACTCCGATCTCCAATAATGGTCGTTAAATCGTCCGGTGGATGTGCACCTTCAGCGAATTCGTCCAAATGTCTCTCAATTTCAGCGATGTTTGCCCCTAGAAATGAATACATTATTTAATAAGTGATGTATTCGTTAGCAAAACATGTATGAAAATCAAATGAATCACACAATACGTACTGCGATTATGTCTTCTACTTCCTATTTCACGTTTTGCGAGATCTATCCAGGTGAGTTCCTTCACTGCTCTTCGCTTGGCTTCGATCATTCGATCCGTTTTCACTCCTATAACAAAGTGTTTATTTCATGCAAAATGTGTTAATATTTAGTTAATTATTATAGAAATTATTAAATGTTTTGTCACTTACTTTGCCATATGAAATACACCGCAATAACGACGACAATCACCACAATAACAACAATTAGAGTAATAATCAATCCCGTGTTAGACCCTTTGGGCGTCTCTGTGGGCGGCGGTGGGAAACACTCCGGTAACAAGTATTTCAAACTTGAATTGCACTAAAAATAACAAAACAATTAAAAAGTATTTTCTAAAATGCATTTTAAAAGTACTTCAGAGCCGCCGAGACTTTGTGAGCAATACATGGGTTTGCCGTTTATATTGAAGAATATGAAGTGAAGGAAGATTTTGTTTTCGACTCCGAAGTCGACGACAGCCTCGATATTCTTCCGAAGCAATGGATTCATGGAATCGACAAATAGTTTGTTTTGATTCACATTCGCCAGACATTTGGTCGCATTCTTCACGAGTCTATCCTTTGGTCTTTCGTTTGGAGAATAACACGAAATGTTTGCAACATTTTTGTTGTAAACGATGAGCCAATTGTCGTCTCTCTTATTCGTCGCCCGGAATATGAGATCTTTGGGATTGTATTGAGAGTCGGTGTCGATGTTGTATGTCTTGCCATCAGTGGTAACAACACATTCGGTCACAATATCGCCGGTGTTTCCAGACTTTCAAATTAATTATAATTAGTATTTTGAATGCAATTCAATGTATAATAACCTGATATTTGACATAACAGTCCAAACCATTGCCACTAAATCTTTTGATTATATTTCGGTCGTAATTATTGCCCTCGAATTTGGTGTCAAAGTCTTTATTCCCGAAACTAATTTTCCATTCATAGCCTTTATTATACATGAAATACTTCTTGTGAACCGTCGAGTAATAGACATCAATGCCATCGTATTTGTCATTTGTTTTAATATATTTGCAATTATCTGTATTGAATTGGCATTGAATTTCAGTGAAAGACACAATGAGTACAAGAATTGCAATCATTTTCACAAACAGTAGAATTGGTGTAAAGATTGTGATAACTGTTAGAAAATGTAAATCTGTATTTAATTATAACAATAAACATGCCATTAGTTTGAATTCAAACATTTGTTGATTTAACACATTATTGTTGTCTCGCAATCCATGGATTAGTGGTTACATTCTTGTGATTATTATTGTGATATAAAAATACAGTTCACCCAAAATTCACAGCAAATCATATTTGAATGAATTTAAATACAGTTTGTTTAGCGATTAAATTGGAATTTATTGTATTTATTGAATTACAAATTATAAACCAATATTTTAGTATATACTTCTTATGGCATAAAAATTTAACGTATATTAACAACCAGAATTTAGTAATTAATAATTTTCAACCTTTAAAATACTAAATAATAATAATGCGAAAAATCTTTGATTCTAAAATTTGAAATTTTAATTCTTGACTTTCGGGAACCGATTCTTCGGCGAAGTCTTGTCCGGACTCACAGTCTTTCGGTCTTTATATAAATACAAAACAATTAATTGTTTGTAATATTCATATCAAACATAAAACACACCTTTTGTGGGACTTTTAGTGTTTGGTTTTTGAGTAGCGGTTCCTCTCTTGGGTTCAACCACTGATGTCTTAACACTTGACTTATCAGTCAGTCTCGACTGCGGAGTCTTTAGTAAGGCTTTAGACTGTTTTGAGGACTGCTTTTCTGTTAATGTCTTCCTTAAGACCTCATTTTCTTTAGCTTTAAAGCAATAAATGTATTGTTTTTTCATTCATTAGACAACAAAACATGTATTCAAACAATCAATACAAACACATACTCAGCCTTTTAATGGTCTCTTTCTTGGTGTCAATCGTGGATTCATTTGTCTCAACACTTGACGTACTCTCTATACAAATGTATTTCATATAAAATATGTTAATATTTTGTTAATTTTTATAGATTTTATTAAATGTTTTATAAATTACTTCTTTTTTGTTGGATTATAAAGAGTGACAAAATGACAAGAATTACAACGAAAACACCAATAATAGCGCCCATTATGTAGATTTCGAAACGTTTGGGAGGAGGGGGAGCACTCGTAGGGAAACATTCGGGTAAAACACGAAACCAATTTTTCTCCGAATTGCACTAAAAATAATATAATAATTTTAAAGTTATTGATTTTCTAAAAATACATTTTAAAAATACGTTAATATCATCGATAGCTTGTGTACAAAAGAATGGCATTCCGTTGCTACTGAAGAATATGTAGTATATATAGACTATGTTATTAACTTCCACGTGAATGATACCATCGATTTTCTTCTTAATCGAGTCGCCCATCGATTCAATAAATTGTGTCTTATTTTCTAACTTTTGCTTACATTCACTATAAGTCTTAACAATTGTTTTGTGTTTTATTGAATAACACGTTATTTTGAGATCATTTTTGCTGTAAATAATGAACCAATCTTTTATCTCTGACTGAAATATAACACCTTTGGGATCGTATTGAGAGGTTTTGTCTTCACTGCCATCGGAACAGTTGGTCATAATTGTGGCATTGCTTCCGGGCTTTTAAATTAATTTAATACAATTTAACCGTTTCAATGGGATATAAGACATTATAATGACCTGATATTTGACATCACAGTCGTAACCATCGACACCAAATCTATTGATTATGGCTGTGTTGTAGTGATCGTTTCCAAGTGTAAGTTCCTTTTCCATTGTTATATTTCTATTTTCGATACCAAACTTCCATTGTTTGCCATTCTTGTACATAACATTCCCATTCAAGATATCCGAGAAAAACACTTGAATGCCATCGTATTTACCATTGGTTTGGAGTAAATCGCAATACTTTTGGCATTGAATAGCATTCAAAGACACTATGAGTACAAGAATTGCAATCATTTTCATTAACAGTAGAACTGATGGTAAAGAATGTGATAACTGCCTGAAAATGCCAACAAATACTGAATTTGTATTTAAATATAACGTGAGTTTTAATTCAATTGTTTCATATTATAGTCGTTTAACAAAATATTGTTTCATGAAATCAACGGATTAATTAATGCATTTGTATTGAATCGCTTTATAAAATTAAGTGTTTTATTTAAAAACATATCAATAAGTTTGTGAAAAGAGTTTCATTCATCAAAAATAATAAATTTTTTAATAATTACTACTTTACATTGTATTTATTTTACTGTCAATAATTTTAGTCTATTTTTAAAAATATTTATTTTTATTGTGGAACAAAACTAAACACTTTTTAGTATAAAATGTTAATTAGTAGTAATTATAATCATTTGTTTGATTGCAGGTATTATGAGAAGCACTCAAAGTCAGATAATTAGTATAATTATAATTCAAATTTGACTGATCAGGGCTACGATCTTATTTGTATTATTAATTTCTAAATATATTATTTGAAATAAATATATTTATAATACGTAATATACAGTATATTAATAGTTAATTAAAAGTATCATCGATTTAGTACATAATATTGTAATCAATTTAAAAATTGTTATAAACATTCAGTAAATTAGGTCTAGAAATACAAAAATTATATATTTTTAAACATGTTTTGCATAACTGTTGGCAAACAAAATGAGATAAAGTATGAATTCAAACGATGCATGAAAACAAACAACTGGTCTATGATTTGTCTGTCGGGCCATCACTGGTGGAAGTGGTGGCGGATGTGATGGAGGGTTGTGTCAGTGCATCGGTAGTCAAGTGGGGAAGAGATGTCCGGAATCGATGGATTACACATCTATTATAGTAAATGACTCGTCCAGATATTGGCCACCACTGGTCACAAACCTTATTGCTTCTATATTTTAAATAACCATGTTATATTTACTAATCGTAAAATTATGATTTAATATTGTATTTACTATTAAATAAAATTATCAAAATCTTTAAAAATAAAATCCATAAAAGTGTTAAATTCAGTGTCTATTAGTGGTGGCAATCAATTATAATATTTGAGTTAAATAATTGCTATAATTGTAGTTTACATAAAATAATTGAGTGTGTAATCAAAGAAATAATTACTTTCCACACGAATTGCACAAAATATTGACAAATTATTTTCATTTTATTTTAGTTAAGAAATATTTATTAAAAATCTGAAATTAATCTCATCTTTATTTTTAGTATCAATTAATGTAATTTAAATTTAATAAATTATAAAATCCAAACACTTTTTATTATAACTATTTGAAGCAATTTTTACGTCTCATACAATTGAATGGACTCTTGATTTCAGTCATTGAATTCATTATACAAATCATTCTCTTATAGAAGAGACACTTCTTATGGCATAAAAGTTAACATATATTTTAAAGACAACGAATTGAGTGAAAATACATTTATAATTATATTAATTCTATTTAAAATTTAGTAATTAAATAAAATACAAACTAAAAAAATTGTAAACTCATATGAAAAACACGAATTGTAATAAATTTCTATATAAAAATACAATATTACCGTAAATAAAATAATATGTGATATAAATTGTAAAATCAATAAAACGTTAATAATTTCTATAAAAAGAGAATTTAGACGAATGTATGGAATAAATAATAATATGAATGAATTGTATAGTGAGAAAAGAGTGCCATTTTTGGTGCATATTATAGACTATTTGTTGGCAATGTTTGGCATTTACTTAACGACTTTCTTAAGCACTTTCGCGTCTTCTGGGCCGCGTCTGTACCGGTGCTAAACTTGGAGCCGCTTTCGGTTCCGTAGTCTTCGGGTCTTTACATATAATTATACAAAACAATGTATTGATTGTAATATTCATATCAAACAAACCATTGGTTTCGGTGGTGTGAGGCGATGCTGGCGCCGGGGCCGGTGGCGGAGCATAACGTTCGTCGCCTTTACATATAATTTCACAAAACATTAATTGTTTGCCAAAATTGATGTCAAACACTAAACATACCAATGGGTCGCTTCCAGTCGATGGTCCCCTCGTGGGGACAATACGGACACTTCCACTCCACATACTCTTCCACTTGACATATAATAAACAAAACAATTAATTGTTTGTAAAATTCATATCAAACACTAAACACACAGTCGGGCGGAGTTTTTTTGTCGATAGACTGTCGGAAAAGTTCTGCATTTTTGTGCCCATAGTTCTCAGCGAGACGAACCATTTCACTTTTCGCGCCATTATGCGCGGCATCGAGAATACTTACCGATGCAGTCAATGCAGCTGTTAATCAAATGAATGTGGTATTAATTATGGAATATATTTGTCACCAAAACATTGCAAATATTATACTTAAATCTCCATTAATGGCATTCCATTGTTGCAGTGTATGTCTAGGGTTACCTTTAGGGAATTGGTCCAAATGTCCCTCAATTTCAGCGATGTTTCTGTCTATAAATGAATGCATTATTTAATAAGTGATGTATTCGTTGGCAAAACATGTATGAAATCAAATCAATCACACAATACGTACGGCGGTTATCGTTTCTCTTTTCTATTTTGCGTGTTTTGATGTGTAGTTTAGTGATTGCAATCCTTATTTTCCTAACTATAACAAAGTTTGTTTCATGCAAAATGTGTTAATATTTGGTTAATTATTATAGAAATTATCAAATGTTTTATCAATTACTTTTCCATAAGCAGTGCACGAAACAACCAACTATAATCGTCGAAACAAAAATACATATTCCAGTAATAATCCATGGCCAGTAAGACGACTCTTTGGGCGTCACTGTGGGAGGCGTTGGGAAACATGTCTCTGAAACAGGAGTCAAATTGGCCTCAGATTTGCACTACAAATAAGATAACAATTTTAAAGTATTTTCTAAAAATGCATTTCAAGAGTACTTCAGTCGTCTCGTCATTCATTAATTCCGTGCAATACTTGGGAACGGCGTTTATATTGAAGAATATTCTGTGTCCGACGATTGTGTCTTCCTCTTCATATTCAAAGATACCTTCAATACTCTCCTTAAGCAACGGATCCATTGAATTAAGAAATGGTGTCTTAATTCCCATCTTTTCTTCACATTTGGTGGCATTTGTCTCGAGTCTTGTACTGGAAGTGAATGAATAACACCATATATTGGGATTATTTTTGTTGTAAATAATAAACCAATCGTTGGTTTTATCATTGGATGCCCTGAATATGACATCTTTGGCATCAAATTGTGTGCCATTGTCTTCGAAACCATTCGTACATTTGGTGACAATACGACCATTGCTTCCATTCTTTACAATCAATTCAATTGAATATAACTATTTTGAATGTAATTCAATGTATAATAACCTGATATTTGACATTACAGTCGAAGTTATGTCCACCAAATTGATTGATTATATTGGGATCAATCCGTTTGACAATATAGGTGTCCATTACTAACCCTTCCTCTTTGATCTTAAACATCCATTCGCTGCCATTTTTATACATTAAATACTTGTCGTGTACAACCGAGTGATAGACATGAATGCCATGCGATTTATTGTATGGTTTCATTAAAGTGCAATCAAATTGACAGTCAATGGCATTCAAAGACACAATGAGTATAAGAATTGTATTCATTTTCACAAACAGTAAAATTGATGTAAAGATTGTGATAACTGTTGGAAAATGTGAAAAAATATTGATTTTGTATTTAATTATAACAATGAATATAACACGAGATTAAATTAAATTTATATTTTTTATTCACATCTAAATTTGAATTTGGTCAGTAAAGTGTTAAAGCATTAGAGTTTGAGTTTAACACGAATATACGGTAAATGACTGCAACCATCGCTTTGCATTCGATTTGAAAACACTTTGTATATTTTAATTTATATAATTACAATTTATTAAATCTAAATAAACACTTCAATATAAATATTTGAGACAAATTAAACCTTTCATATAATTTTATGAATTCTTGTTTTGAGTGATTGAACTCATTATACAAACCATTCTTTTATAGAAGAGACACTTCTTATGGATTCAGTTATCATGTATTCTGTAGACAACGAATTGAGTAAAAATACATTTATTAATTAAAAACTAATTATAATATAATTTCTATAAAATATTATCAAAACTAAATAAACACAACATAATAAATAAAATTTACAAATTCTGATAAATATATACAATATTTAGAATTATAAATTAAACTATATTTCCATTTTGAAATATTCTCTTTTAATTCTTGACTTTCGGGGACCGAGTCTTAGGCGAAGTCTTGTCCGGAATTACAGTCTTTACGACTTTATATAAATACAAAACAATTAATTATTTGTAATATTTATATCATTAATAAACACACCTTTTGTGGGACTTTTAGTCTTTGGTTTCTGAGCAGTGATTTCTTTATTTGTTTTATCTGTGAGTGTCTTAACACTCGACTTATCACTCGCTTTAGATTTCTTGTTCTTTAGTGAAGGACTCGATTGTTTTGAAGACTTTTCCTTTTCTCTCAACGATTGTCTCAAAGACTCGACTTCTTTGGCTATAAATCAATGTATTATTAATTATTGCATATATTAGTGACCAAAACATGTATTTCCGAATCAATACATAACACGTACTCAACGTTTTAATGGTCTCTGTTTTGGAAGTTATTTCGGCCTCATTTGTCACTATTCTTGTGTCTATTTCATACGGATTGTATTATTTTGTTAATTATTATAAAAATTTCCAATTATTTAATTCATTACTTTTTGGACGAATATTATCCCAAATTGCAAACACAATAATACAAACTATAATAACAATAATAATAACAACAACAAAAAGCCAATATTCAGTGATTTTAGACTTTTTTTCACTCTTTTGGAAACATTTAGGGAATAAAGGTTTCAATTTTTTATCCGAATTGCACTAAAAATAAGAAAAAATTAATGAATATTTAAAAAGTCTTTGGTGTGAATTATAATATGAATTATAAAAGTACTGCACTTCAAACTTTGTATTCAATAATTGCGAGCAATAGTAGGGACGACCGTTTATATTGAAGAATATTCTGTGTCCGACAATCATATTTTCCGCTCCAAAGTCAACGATACCTTCAATACTCTTCTTAAGCGAGTCATTCATCGATTCAAAAAACAATGCTTTAATTCCCAACTTTTGTATACATTGTTGGCTATTGTTGACGAGTTTTGGATCGTTTTTCCATGAATAACACCAAATCTTTGAACCATTTTTGTTGTAAACTACGACCCAATCGTTGGTTCTATTTCTCGCTGCTCTAAATATGATAGCTTTGGGATCGTATTGAGAGACTGTGTCTGAGATTTTTTGTTCCCCAATTCTACATTTGCTAACAATAAGGCTATGGTTTCCGAGCTTTAAAATATCAATTATTTTCAATATAAATATTTTGAATGCAATTCAATGTATAATAACCTGATATCTGACATCACAGTCGTAATCATATCCACCAAATTGATTGATGATATCTGGATCAATTTTGTGAAGTGACTTGAATTCATACTCTTTCTCTTTAGCCTTATACTCGATCTGCCATTCGTTGTCATTCTTATACATGAAAGTAATTTTCTTGACGTGCGAATGATAGACATGAATGCCATGCGATTTATTATAGGATTCAATTAATGTACAATTAATTTGACATTCAATGGCAGTGAAAGACACTATGAATACAAGAATTGCAATCATTTTCACAAACAGTAGAACTGATGTAAAGATTGTAATAACTGTTGGAAAATGCAATCAAATATTGAATCTTGTATTCAATTATAACAATAAACATAACATTAGTTTGAATTCAATCATTTTATATTTTTAATTCTTAACCTAATATTGTTTCTCGAAATTAATTAATTAATATTATTGTAAAACAGAGTAAAACAAATATATAGCAAATAAATTGAAAACTTTGCAAATAAATTCAAATTGCAGTTTACTTATCATTAATCGTTGATTTTATTACATATTTGCAAACTATAGACGTGTGGGTAAAGCAAAGATCAATCACTCGTTTGTATTAATACTCCTATTCTTGAGTTTCATTGCATTCAATGTCTTCAACGAAGCCATGGATTGGGAATTGCATTGAAATCAACGCAAAGTTATTGAAAATTGGTCTTCTATTTCACTGTCTTTTGTATTGTCAGACAATTAATCAAAAATACTAATTAATAATTGGATTCATATCTCAGATATTTTATGGATAATTTGTTGTAAGACTGCGATCTATAGATTCTGTGAAAAACAAGGCACAAAAATAAATTTATAAACATTTAAATTGTTTTTAAAAATTTGAAACAACTTTTGATAAATTGTGAGCCGAATGGATATAAAAAATATTTACTTTTCAAAATTTTTTTATTAACTAATTTGTTTTCAAACTAATAATTATTTTAAAGCAAAACTTTTAGTACTTTTATATGAAATATGAATTATTTTATTACAACTATTGATAATTGTTTGATTACAAGTATTATTTATTTATTAATTTCTCTTTAATAGCAAAATATTTGCTTACAATTTACTTAAATAAAAATTTATTTAATAAAAGCCACATTTTATTAAACACAACATAAAAACAATTAAAGCTTATAGTAATGTCGAGTTTGACATTTAAAATATCAATCAAAACAGATATAAAATGCAAAATCTATTTATATTTATGATTCAAATTATTTAAGTAATTATAAGAGACTTGAAAAGTAAATGAATTGATATAAATTGTAATATATATTAATTGGAAGTATTAATAGTTTAATGTGTAATATTGGAATCAATTTAAAACAGTTATAAACATTCAGTGAATTAGTTATAGAATTACAAAAATTATATTATTTTTTAAACATGTTTTGCATAACTGTTGGCAAACAAAATGAGATTAAGAATGAATTCAAACGATATATGAAAACAAACAACTGGTCTATGATTTGTCTGTCGGGCCATCACTGGTGGAAGTGGTGGCGGATGTGATGGAGGGTTGTGTCAGCGCATCGGTGGTGACGTTGGGAAGAGATGAATGTCCGGAATCGATGGGTTGTTCAATGGGTTCTTCATCTGCGTTGTCATCACTGGTGGAGTCGTCGTTGTCTTCTTCGAGTTCTCCCTCTTTCACATCCAATGACTCGAAGTCGTCGATCCTGTTCATTAACTACTCATCCCATCTTGATGAAACTTGGATTCTAGTGCCTAAGAATGTTAACTTAAATTATCAGACTGATTTCAGAATTTTAGCTACACTACAAAATAGGTAGTATAATAGGTTTCCATTTGAGCTAATATATATTGTATAATATACCCTATTTATAATATAACTTTACAATTAAGTATTTTCAAATCTATTACAAAGCGATTGTTGCATTCATTTATAGTACCGTATACACTCAAACCTGTTTAATTTCACATAGTTGGGACCGTACTTTTTGGTGTGTGAAATTACACAATGTGAAAATATAGAGAGAAATTTTCATATGATTATGTTGTTTTTAACTAAGGTTTTTGTTAAAGACTATAAGTTATGTTATATGATTAATTATTTTAATCATTTTTTAGTTATAAAGTTAACTATAGACAATTATTATAATAAAAACATATAATTTACTTATTACCACTTCTTGTCATACCCAATATTTACTAAAATATACAAAAAAGACAATAATTTTGTTGACTAAAATGTGAAATTACACGATCAAACCTATGTTCACAATGTAAACAAAATCACAAGTGATGTGAAAGTGATTTTACGCAAGTGTGAAATTAGGTCCATGTTATAACATATACCCCAAGATGGGGTTAGTAGTATAGTGTGAATTTAAACAGGTTGTGAAATTGTACAATGTGACATTACACAGGTCCGAGTGTATTTGTGTTTAACCCAAACTCTAATGCATTAAAGCTGTGAATAAAAAATTTAAATTAATTTAATCTCGTGTTATATTAATAGTTATAATTAAATACAAAATCAATATTTGTTCACATTTTCCAACAGTTATCACAATCTTTACATCAATTCTACTGTTTGTGAAAATGATTGCAATTCTTGTACTCATTGTGTCTTTCACTGCCATTGAGTGTAAATTTGATTGCAATTTATTGAAACCATACACTAAATCGCATGGCATTCAAGTCTATCACTCGGGTCTTCACAACGAGTATGTAATGTATAAAAATGGCAGCGAATGGATGTTTAAGATCAAGCAGAAGAGCTTAATGATGAGCACGTTTGCTATCAAACCAATTGATCCCAAGATAATCAATCAATTTGGTGGACATAACTTTGACTGTAATGTCACGCTTCAGGTTATTATACATTAAATTGCATTCAAAATATTTATATTCAATTCAATTGATTGTAAAGAATGGAAGCAATGGTCGTATTGTCACCAAATGCTCGAATGGTTTCGGAGACAACGGAACTCAATTCGATGCTAAAGATATCATATTTAGGGCATCCGCTGATAAAACCAACGATTGGTTTATTATTTACAACAAAAATAAGCCCAATATATGGTGTTATTCATTCACTTCCAGTACACGACTCGAGACAAATGCCACCAAATGTAGGGAAAAGATGGGAATTACAGAACCATTTCTTAATTCAATGGATTCGTTGCTTAAGGAGAGTATTGAAGGTATCGTTGAATTAGAAGTGAGCGACACAATCGTCGGACACCATATATTCTTCAATAGACACGGATTTCCCGAGTATTGCACGGAATTAATGAATGACGGGACGACTGAAGTACTCTTGAAATGCATTTTAGACAATACTTTTTAATTGTTATCTTATTTGTAGTGCAAATCTGAGACCGATTTGACTCGTGTTTCAGAGACATGTTTCCCACCGCCCGCACCCGAGCACAAAGAGTCTAATGGATTTTGGAATAGATTCTTTTCGATTTTGTTCTTTGTTGTGATGGCAATTATCATCTGTGTTTGTGCGTACACGTGTCCATGGTGTACGTCATCATTGATATAACATTTGATAATTTCTATAATAATTAACTAAATATTAACACATTTTGCATGAAATAAACGCTATTTAGATCACATATTCAACACAAGGCGTGAGGTTTACCAACGAATAGTAGAAGAAAAGCGGAGACAAGTGAACCAAAACCAGAAAGAGTTCGACAGACGGGATATTTGGCTAATTAAACAAGAACTCAAACCTATTGAACAAAAAAAGATTCAACTAAGTATGTATTGTTTGATTGATTGTTTTTCATACATGTTTTGCCAACCAATACATCACTTATTAATTATGAATTCATTAGATGAAAGTATTGCTCAATCAAATCGTATCTTAAAAAGGGGTCGAACAACACAAACGGACGCCCAATGGCTCGCTATTGGTATGTAATTGACATGTTTTGGTGACAAATATATCTCATAATTATTTATACATTCATTTAATGAGCAGATAAGCAAAAGATGGAGTTGGAGAAGGAGAAATTGGGTGTCGAACGCGAGTCCGATAAATTGAAGAACGAATTGCACAGAATTAAGGTCGAGGCGCGCATTAGTAACGAAGAAGAGGCAACTTTAGAGGCAAGACCACCGCCGGAACCACAGGGTAAGTTTAGTGTTTGATATGAATATTACAATCAATTCATTGTTTTGTCAAATTATTACATAAAGTGTGAAATAATTATGATTCTGTTTGACGACTAGTATTGGACGAGAAAATCGGTGAACAGTATCCGGATAGGGATGACGAGTTGGTGTACCCATCCTGGATATGCCAGTGCTGTGTTTGGTGGTTCAATAAGGGACCCATTCACACAAAAACCACCTATGGATACACTATACCACATCGTATGCTTGACATCAATATTACAATCAATTCATTGCTTAATAATTATATAATTCATTGTTTTAGTGCCGCACTCGAGAAGACGCGTCGCGGGAACTGAAGGTTAGTTTTGAGATGAATATTACAATCAATTAATGTTTTGTTTATTAATAATGCATTCATTTATAGCTCAAGAATCGAGTTCCGGAGCGATCGCACCAAATGTGAGTGAATGGACACAACCGACGGTCACAATGACAACACAAACCACTGCTAAGAAAGTGGATTTCAAACTCAAACGAAAACCCAGTGT